GCTTGTTGCATTTTCTTCCTGTAAATAATCTCTGCAGGAGGACAAAAGATTAGAAGGCCCTGCATAGTTGTGGGCGATACAATTTCTCAATGCCAGGGTGTTGGGTGCTGTCTGAGCAGAGCTCCCCAGAGGGTGGCTCCCCAGAGGGTGGAAAAGGCACCCTTTCCCAGCTGCACTCCCCGCACTCCCCACCTGCCCTACGGAGGTCTCCTGTCCTCTCTCTCAGCCTGGGCGCCTTCAGGGGACTGAAGTGCCACAGATTTGGAAGCTGATATTCCCGGGCAAGCAGCTGCCTCTCTGTGCAGCTCAGCACAGGTGTGTTTCAGACTTTCTTTCCCAGGAGGCAACAACACTTCAAATGCTCAGGAACTGTTCATACTTCATGTCTGCTGCATGCACCAGGCTCAAGGGCACTCGGGGTGGAGGTTACCCTGCCTGTACCGCTCCATCGGGAAGCCCAAAGGGAATGTCCTGCTTAGAAGCCATGGTCAACTCTGCACATGTGCCACTGCTGGGCCACCTCCACTCTTGCTGTTACTAGAAGGGAAGACATCTTTCTAGTGCCGGGTGGCAATGCTAGTTCAACTTTTGGTCACTCACTGCCCATTGATCTCTACATGGAAATGCTATGCGCACACAAGGATGTGTGCGGTTGGCACACACAGTACTTTTGACACTCAGATCACATCTGCTTGCTCACTTGTCCCTGTGGAGGCTGTGTACCCACTAGCAGGGCGAGCATGCCAAACTAGAGCTGCTGGTTCTTTGGCTTGTGGCCACCGATCTGCGTGCCAAGACATGGGTATGGAGCACAACAACATTCATCATCACACACAAGGTTGAGGGGGCAGAGCTACCCCTCTGGACTTGGGATTTTGATAACACTTTCCCTAAATCTGGCAGTTGACCCAAGAAACCACACAGTACCTTAGGCTCAAATATACAGCTACAGGCAAGAAGGGCTTTGCACACAATCTGCATCTTTATGTTTCTTACTTCTTGAAAAAATAAAAATCAATAAAACCTTTATAAAATATCCATGGGTTGTGATCAGCTTTAGAAACACAAGCGTAAACAACATGGACACTGATGCAAATACTAGGACACAGACTAGTGTTTTCTCACCCTGAAGCTCAGCGATTACTTTACCTCTGGGATGAGGCTGGTGGGTTTCTTTTTTCTCTCCAGTCAGACGCCTCCAGGGCGATGTGTTCAGCAAGGCTTTGAGCACCAGGGGCTTCAGAGCAGAGACCACCAGTGCAACCTGCTTTCTGTCTCCTGACCCCTCTCCTCAATCAAAAGCCTTAATTAGCTGGTTACTGTAATTACTCTAGCTACTGACCCTCTCCATTCTCCTTCCCTGCTATTTCCAGGGCTCTGAAGGCTTCACCACTCCTATGCCAGAGGGACCTTCTCATCATATGCTCTCTCTGCCTTTTTGTTTTCCTCTTTTATGATCAGAACAAAAAAGCCTGGGGAAAGAAATCAACTCTCCTTCTGTTATGGCTTGTGCCTTGATGTCCCTCCAAGCCTCATGTTGTCATAGGTGGGGCTTTTTCAGTGGTGGCTGGATCTAGAGTGTGTCACTGATTCATGGTGCAATACTAGGATTAAGGATGCTAGAAATAAGGGTGAGTGATTACTAAATCAGTCTACTGATTGGTTTGGCACTGCCCCAATCCTCGTAGCCCTGAAGGAATATAAAAGGCACAGAAAGACACTTCTAAGGTCCCTTGCTTGCTTTGCTACATTCTGCCTGCCATGAACTGTTTCTCCTCTGCAATTCCACCCTCCCTTGGGGCAAGCCAGTTATGGGCTGAAATCTCTACCATCTGTGAGCTAAATAAATCTTTCCTCCTTTAACTTTGGATGTCAGGTATTTTGTCTCAGCAATGAGAAAAGTAACTAAGACACCTTTCCTACCTGGGTTAGAACCAACAATTACCTCTTTCCAATCAGGAACAAGTTTCCATGGTAACTACACTTTCTAATGCTACCACTAACTTAGCAGGAATATACGTATTAAATGGAGTTTTTCCCAACCTCTGCGGGTCCCATCCTCACCCATAGCTATAGACCAGCTGTTTGTATGAACTGTATCTGAAAGAGGTTGGTTCTTTTTCTTTCTAAGTGGCAGAAAGATGAAAGACTCTTTGGTATTCTCCTTGAAGGAATCATTAAATATATTTAAAAAGGTAGCAGAGGGATGGACCTAAAAGAGAATGTACGATGGATGGAAGGAAGTGTAAACAGATAAATGGAGAATGGCTGGGTATCACAAGAGCTGGGAGACTTACACCATGGTCAAGGGCACAAACTCTGAGCTGAGAGTGAAGGAGGCAGAGATTCCATCTGTGTGTTGGCCTGGGTGAGTTTCTCATCTGCCTGAGCCTCAATACTCTCCCTGAAACAGATGGACACTGAGATGCCTCATGCAAATGTATGGGGAAAAAAGCAAGAGAAAAGATGCTCTGACAGTGTCTGGTACACATAGGTGTTCAACACACAGGAAGTGTCATGTTGTCCTTAAGGCAGAGGTGAAAGGAAAGAGTGCGTAAACAAGCAATCACAACGTTCACACTGTTAACTCTGTGTGGGACGAGGATAAGAATATGAGCAATAGATAGTTGGGGGTTTTCTTAACAGCCTTTCGCTCCTAGATCATTTAGTTATGCTGCAATTACAGAAAGGAATCTACTCATTTCCATCCCTAAGACTTCAGAGGATACAAATAGGCTATCTCCAGTTCATTGAAATCTATTTATAACTCTGCTGTAGCATTAGTTTGCTTTTCAAACAAAAGCAAAAGTAATATGGGTTAACCATTAAAGTATTTATTCACTATTCCATATTCCCAATACCAATCAGAAATATTTCAACTCTTCTCGAGAGGCAAGAGAAACAAAAATACACGTATTTTTATATTACTTTCTGTGTTGTGCAGTGAAATTTTGTTTCAAAATCAGAATTCATATTATAGCAAATAAATCAATATGTTTAATGTTCAGCCAGCTCCCCTCCTCCACATACCCCCACAGCATTACTTGTGCCTTAGGGGAGCTGACTGGTCCCTCATAAATAACACCCAGTCAAACCTCCAAGTTAAAAAAGATAAAAGTAGAATATGGTAAGGCACACCTATAATCCCCGCACTGGGGAGGCTGAGGCAGGAGCACTGCAGTGAGTTTGAGGTCAGCTTGGGCTACATAGTGAGTCTGAGGTCAACCTGAACTACATAGCCAGATCCTGTCTCAAAAAATAAGCCCACAAAAGATAAGTAAATGTTCACACATTTTAAAATTTCCCTTGTGTCAATTTGGTGATCAATCTAGATACATCCTCCTTATTAAGAATTCTTAAAATGGTAAACAAAATATTCTGTCAAAAATGAGTTGACTGAGCTCTGCCCAAAGAACCACTCGGATATGTGCTCAGTGCTTTACCTTCATTCCTTCTGGTAATATATATTTTCAAGGATTTTTTGTTAACATATGTCTGTATGACATGATAACTGCTTAAGGGGAAGATAAGATTTCTCTCTACTTTTAAGTGACACTGTGATACTTTAGGCACTAAAGCAGAGCTAGCAGTGCTTTCTCTAGTTTTACCTTGGTTTATTTTAACAGGTTGAGATGTCTGTGGTAAGATGTAACTTACTGTTAACTTTGTGAGGTCTGAAGTGTTTAGATATTGAGCCAGATTCCTTAGTAGACCAAATCTTTTATCTCTGAAGTGCTGAGATATCCTGATGTTTAAAGGAATATTCGTTAAAATAGCTTAAGTTTTCTTGTAGGATATTTTTTTAAACTTGCCCCTATAGTTTCAATTCTGCATGTCCTAGGCTTCAAGAAATAAGTACATTAAACTGAAACAACTTGATGGCAGAAGCTGCATGGGGCTTGTTTAAAAAAAAAAAAAACAAAAAAACAAAAAAAAACGAGCCTTTACTGCTACCTGAGCTGGCAAGAAAGTCAAGAAAATTCATAAAGGTCAGAAACAAATCCAGAGAGGTAATCTGGTAGTGGAGCTAGAATTTTCCATGGGGCCATCTGTCTCTCCTCTGTCCAGAGGACTAGTGGTCAGTATGTTTTTTGTCTTGTACAGAGCCAGACAGTAAATATTTAAGACTTTACAGACCTTCCACCTCTGCTGCAATCACACAACCACAACACTGTGGCACAAAAATGTTCACAGATAATATGTAAAAACAAACAGAAAATGTGCACAGCTGCATTTCAGTAAAACTCGATTTATGTCCGTGGGCAGGGAGCAGAACTTGGCCTATGGGCAATGCTTTGCCAATCTCTGCAGCATAACATGGCTCTTCATGATTTTCTCTCCAGGATATATGTGTAGTACGTGATATGTGTGAGCCATGTGGTATGTTACTGCATGATGGTTCTGACTTCTTCACATCTCTCTGTGTCCCTGTCCCTGCCTGAGGGTGGGGGATGCCCTACTGGCTCTTAGCTGGACCATGGGACTTCCTTTAACCGATGAGACAACAGTAAACAGGGCACAGTGACAGAATGCGGCTTTCCACTCTTGCTGCTCCTGGGTTCTTGTGTCCGCCAGTAGGAGTCCAAGCCAGTGTGTCCCACATCCCCATTACCTGGCCAGAAGAAGCACTAAGAGGAGCCAGCGCCAACCACCAGACATAAGAGAGGACACTGCCCGCTGAGACTCTACTAAGTGACGGTGGCCGCCTGGGTGAGTCCCCACAAGACCTACAAGCGAGCCCCCAAATGAGCGGGCCCAGATTGCTTTAAGCCATTAAGTTTTAGGGCATTTATTTCACATGAAAAGCTAAATGTTATATTGCAGAGGAAGCTTATTATCTTCTAAAATGAGAAAACAAGCATATTTACAGAAACAGTAAAGAAAAGACTGGGCAAATTTTTTTTTAATTTGCATTTCCATTTTAAAACTCCTGTCATCCACCAGCAAGGACAAGCCCTCCTTGTTCCTGGCAGCAATAAGACAGAGCAAAGTCTTCCTACCTGAGCAGACTTCTTTATAAGTAGGATTGGGAGTATAGCCTCCTGCAAAGCCCACTTGAGTGGAATAGACGCCTTTCAAGATCCAGAATTTCCTTTCAGCTCCCCAAAAACAGCCCATTCCTGCAAAAACATTAAGAGCGGTTAACCATTTTTCCCAAACAAAGAGTTCATTACCCATTACAAGACCTGCAAGCTGGGAAAGAGATGTTTCTCCGATCATTTGGTGATTGAAAATGACTGAGTACAGCATATAAAGAAGGAGAAATTTTAACATTCAAAAAAATTTTATTTACGGTTATTTGCATAAAATGTCCTTTGTTTTTACTGGACAGAAACTTAGAAGGCCTCAGATTTTAGTGGGTTAGTAAATCTACATCTTTCCCAATAACAGTAAAAGGAGAACAAGCTTATGAATATTTTCATACTCAGTTCATAAATTATATCGTATTTAATGATCAGCTCCCTGGTCACTTTTTAAAAAATACTTTAACAAAGACATGCAACACTCAATGACTTATTTTAATGCAGAAATGTCCAAAATCAATATACATTTATGCAAGATCCCTAATTTAAAATGTCACATATCTCTTCAGTTTTTATATTTTTTGTCACTATTAATTTGTATGTGTTGTTATTGTTTTCTCAAACATATATTCTGCTGAGTTCTGTTATTGAATGTAATAAATGAGGAACGTATGGAAGGGAGGGAGGAAAGGAAAGAACAATAATAAACAAACACAAAAACTGCATCCCATTCAACTAGAAAACATTGTTTATGCCTGTAGTTATTGGATTCTTTTGAACATTGGACAAAAACCAACACCCATCTCACAAGAACACACACAGAAATGTTAGAAATGTCACACTGTTTTTTTCATGGGTCCACAAAAAGCACCCCCATTCTCTCCTATAAGTTTTCAAACAGTCCAGTAGAGCTGCTAGTTTGTGGCCCACAAATGTAAGAAGCCTGCTGCTTCTCTCGAGCTTTATGTAGCTTTGTCAAATCACACAGAACTAAGATCCTGGGTGGAACAACAGTTGGTAAATTAATATATGCCTCCTATTCTGGTAATCACTAGCTTTGCTAGCTTTAATGACAAAGCTGTAAGAAAATTTAGTTTGCTGACATTCTTGACAGCTGTTAATAGTCTACTTTAAAAATTCAAGGCAACAACTACCAAAAAACAATGTGCATAAAGTTATACATCATCCAAAAATATTCTACTTGGTAAAATGTGAGGGGAAATTTAACCAAAAATAGGTTAATAGTTTAAAAATATGATAGAGCCAAATAATGAAATTCAATGCAGTAAAAAAAAAAAACTGTGATAATATTGCAACACGGAAATATGCATATGATTGTATCATAATTATCTAAGGCGAAATTTAAAAAGAAAAACACAATTACATGCATGTTTCTATCATAACTGTAAAAACAGTCTTACCAAAATAGGCTGGAAGGAAATACACTAAAGTTACAACCATGATTTTAAAATGAGAATATAGAAAAGTTTCCATTTTATAAGTTTTCTGTAGTAGATTATTACTTTAAAAATGAAAAAAATATTTTTAAAGAAAGCAAAAATTCAAAGAAATAGCATAGCATATGCATTATTTGAGTTACACACTACTGTACCACTTATAACCCTTATAAATCACCACTCTCAACCCAATCTCTCCCCTCAAAGTAACCATTAACTGGCTTTGAGAGTAATCACTTCCTATGTTTCTTTATGTTTTTGATTACCCAGTATCCACTCCTTACATTATATTAGTCTTGTTCATTTTTTAAAATGATATGCCTCTAAGTCCTTTTCATCAACAAGTTGCCCTTTGCCCTCTGAAGAACACGGGCTATGTGACCACACGGCTTCCCACAGCACGGCTTCTGCTGACTGCATTCTCATGGCACAATTCAGCTTGTTCGTGTGTCCTCAAAGGGTAACTTGCTGCAATTGGCGGCTAGATCTGAGGCTTCATCAGAGTCAGGCTTGATCCCTTGTTAAGACCTTGGAGGTGCTACGCTCTTTGATCAGGGAGCACATAATGTCTCACTGTCTCTTTTGTGATGTTAGCATCCATGGATGCTCAATGCTTAGAAAGTGTTTATCCCTCAAGGGTTACAAAATGGTGATCTTCTATCATTCCTTTTTCACTTATCAGTTGAAATGCATTAAAAAGAAAGCTCAGTGGGGACAATTCATAACAAAGGAGAGAGATGCGTGACTCTGTCCATTTAGCATCTTCAAAATAAGGAACTTACCATCTCCAAAGTTGACCAGTTAGTTTTCATAATTATAAACTCATTAATTTAAATGTATTTGGCAATTACTGTTTTTGAAAAGCTTTATGGGTCAAAGTTTCAGTCAGTGAGACCTCTTCAAATTGGCTCTGGAGTCCTTTTGGCATGTCTTCAGTTGTCCCTCACAGTTTCCTTGCTTTCTGATTTAACTGAATGTTCCTGGCTCCTCTTGTATATTTCCTAAGAAGCCTGGCTTCTTCAAATGGAAAAGGCATTCAAGACCATGACCTAGGTGTCAGTGATGCTCACTGCAGAATGATGAGCCAGGGAATTCCAGTGGACCCTGTAGCTAACGTTGCCTATCAAGATCTAGTCCCATGGGGACAGTAACAAACCATTACAAAGTAGAAGTCATACATTCGGGATGGTACCCGAGCAGGACCAGAGAGCAGAAGCAAGCTGTGGGAACAGGTAGCCAAACTCCCAGAGCATGTACCAGTATTGCACCAACACCCTTCCCTTACTGTACTCCCGTGGTTATATAGGGACTGTGGACAGCCAGTTGGAGGACAAAAAAATGCCTCTTTAGTTTTATTTTATCTTGTTTTGTTTATGGATGGCTGAGGATACAAAGCTAGGATACAAAGCAGCCAACTGCAGCATCCCTAATATGGCCTGAAAGATACAGCGGGGAAATCTTCCCACCCAGGAGCCTTCAGGCAGTGAAGCAGTGAGCCATCTTGGATGTAAGAAGGAACCCATATTCAGACCACATGATGCATGGACAGGACAGATGGCTTGGTGTTGAGTAGCCAGAGATCAAGAACAGAAACTAGAAGAGGAAAAATAAAAGATCAGGGTGGACGCAGGAAAGCAAATAGGCATTGTGCACATCTTGGTAATGCGAGCTGATGCCAGCCACAGAGCAGTCACCATGAAAGGGGACCAATCCTCAAAGCAGAGGCAGAAGCCTGGCCGGTGGAGTCAGCCAGCCTTGCACTGGCTGCCCCACTACTGACACGAGGGACACAGGGACAAAGTAGCCATGATGACAGGACAGAGGCTTCACGTGGGCCTAACAGCATGGTTTCCCACTCGCCAAGTCTCATCTAGATACTGCCACCACTGACCAACCAATGTCCCAGCAACAGAGACTCACCAAGTGCCCTAGTCATCACCATTCATCAAGGGAGCCAACCAACACTAGGGAGCCGGGTTGGAGAGTAACTGGGGCCCCACCCAGGCTGAAAGGGCCAGCAGTGTTCTCGCATGCATTTGCAGGTGGCTGTGACTTTCCCACCTGCAGGATCTCAGCCAGCAACCATCCCACAGAACACCACATGTGACTCACTTCACAGCACACGTGACACAGCAGTGGCTATGACCACAGCTCCTCCTGTTTTATTCTCTGCACAGACCCAAACCTTCTGTTCTGGGATAGCACTGGATGGCCCTGAGGTACCGTGTCACCACCAACTCAGAAAGGGAACTCCAGGAAGGGCTGCATCCTTCAGGACATGAGATGTGCATCAAAAATCCCAAAGATAATGACACACCATGACCCCCAGAGATTATATATGCTTACAAAGCAAGAGGTACAAACAGGAATGGCTCCATCTACCATAATTCCCAATGACCCATCAGGACACTGCACTGCCTGTCACTCAACTCTTGGTTCTGTAGGATTAAAGATCCCAGTCCCCAAAAGGGTGCACTTTCATCAGGGAACACAGCAAGAGCCCATTGAATTCCATGCTATAGCAGTTGGCTAAGCACACTAGGAACCCTGCGTATAGGGGCAAGGAGGCAAAAAACCTTGCCAGGGGTAATCAGCCAAGAGTAGCACATGAGATCTCTGCTGCGCCATAACCTTGCAAACATTTGGTGTTGCAGGTATATACAAATGTTTTCTAGCTGGATGAGTTTTAACCAGTATCTCACAGTGCTTTTGACATATATTTGACTACCACGAGCAGATTTTCATATTGTATATTGGTCATTCATGTTTATCCTTTTGTAAATTGCCTTTGTCCATTTTCCTATCAGGTTTTTATATTTTTCTTGTTTTATTTGTTGTAATTCTAATGTTTTAATCAATTTTTGTCAATTATGTTTGTAATTACAACTTTGTGTCTAATTTGCCTTTTACCTTCAGTTATGATACCTACTGTCATAACAGTGTTTTAAATTTTAATGCGTCAAAGTTCTCTATCTCTTCTTTTATCATAAGTGATTCTAGTGTCTTGCATATAACTCCTTCCATACAGAAAGGTTATAAAAATGTTTGATATTTTCAGAAGCCTTTAAAGTCTTATTCTTTGTTTTAGGTTATTAATCTATCTAGAAGTAATTTTTGTGTAGGATGTGAGATAGGGACTCAATTTGTGCTTTCTATGTGGAAAATCAAGCATCCTAAATAAACTGTTATTTATTTATTAAATAATCCATTTTCCCCTACTTTTCTCTAATGTTACCTCTACTGGTACACCATTTTAAATAGTCCTGATTCTGGAATCTCTGTACTGTTTTTTTTTCAGTCATTTATTCAGCAAGTATTCAGATAGTGCTTAATATATGCCAGGAAGTACTGTAAGTGCTTGGGGTACATGAATGAACAAAACAGACAAGATCCTGCTTTCTTACAGGAAACACACTCCAGTGGGGAAAGACAGATAAGAAACACTAAAAATAATACATAAGTAAGTGATATAGTAAGTAGGAAGGCACAAAGAACTATAAAACATAAGAAAAGTGGAGCAGGGTCAGAAAGATCTTTAGTGTTTTAATAGTGTTCAGGGTGGACCTCAAAGAGATGACTCAAAGATTCAAAGCAGCCAGATAAAGGGCAGAGGAAAGAGTCCTACACAGGCACCAACCT